GTCAAATATTTTTAAATTGCTTCTCAGAAAATTGATATCATTTATTTTACAAGTATTTCTAGTTTCTATTGCATAATTGTACTAATATATATTCTATCCATATATTCATTTATCTATGAACATATATTCATTTATCTATGCATAAAAAATCGTCTTAAAATCAGACTGGAAGAAATGATTCCTTGATTATTCGTCTGTAAATTTTCCAGACATAATTCTATTTCATGTTAGTTTTTTAATAGTTATAGCTTTGCATCTCCTCATTTTTCTTTAATTGTGTTCTCTTGAAACAGATAGCTGGAAAACACACTCATTACAATGTAATGTGAAGACAGGTGGTCTTCCCTGCTTAAACTAAGGGATCTTAAATATGGGAGTATGCATAGCATTTGCTGCATGTGTTTGGGTACTTTCATCAAGAAGAATCCCTAATGGGCTGCTTCTCAGACACCTAAAGCTAGTGTCGATCCCTCACTCTTACAGCCATGATGATAGGTGGCTTGTGTACGGGTATTTGCAGTGTTCTCAAGGATATCTGTGTACGCCTCTTTTGGAATGAACAATTTCCATATCACACCTATGAATGGCTCCCTTGCATTACAGAGACACATGTGCATGTTCTCAGTTCCTAGTTTTTTGCATTAATCTGCATTTTCACTATTATGTTTGATAGCAAGTACTAACCACAACATTTTATTCTATTGGGAAGGCCACAGAGATCAATGCAATATATTCAAAAGAATTTCTAATTTGACAGAGAATATCATTAATCAGCATAAGTGACTTCTGCTTTGACTATTAAGAGAGTGCTCAAGGAGAGATTTATTTCATATGCAGAATCAGCTCTCTACTAAAAACTATATAAAATGATTACATGAGAATCGATGAACTTCCAACATATAACATAACTCTAATCCAATAGGAGGGGAATGATTCAAGAATGTTGGTAGGTAATGTATTGAAATGGCTTACTAAATCATATTGACTATATTATCTGTAATAATTTGGCATGAATTACAGAATAAGCATGAATTATGCTTCCAGTTTTGTGGAGGACCGCCTGGTGACTCTGCTTGAAGGAGGAACAGTCATCTCCATTTTGGCTGATCCTGGCCATATTTCCATGTACTGATGGGTGTAGAGCTGGCTAGGAGTTTTCCTTAGCCCTTCAACTGCACTTAAGCCATGAAAATCGGTCCAGTGGAGTTGCTGATGGGCAGTGTTTGAAGCAAGGCAACAAGGCAGTGTTTCCCTGCCTGGGGATGGGCTCTGTATAGAGGGTCTTGCATCCCAGCCACATTGAGTGCCAAATAGAGACCACAGTTTATGTGGTTTCTATTGCTTTTGATTAGTAGTTGAATTGCTTTATGACCTGATGATTGGCATGGGATAATTGCATGTACTAAGCATGCTTTATTGGAGAGCATGTGGCTCACATTGGAGAAAGTCTCATGTGCTGCTGAGAAATAGGTGTATTACTTTGCTACTAGGTGCAACACTCTGCAGATGTACATTCAATCCATTTTTTCAAAGGTTTGTTTCAACTCTAACATTTCTTAGTTAAAATGTTTTCTAGTTCATCTGTCCATTTGCAACACTGGAGTTTTGAATTCCCCATTTATATCATATTGATATTTACGTCAGTTTTCAGTCCCTTATTTTTTGTTGTGTGAACTGGGCCCAGTGGTATCTGGTGCATATATGTTTATTGTTGTTATCTCTCCTTCTTGATTTGATGTCTTAACTGATATGTACTAAAGTTTTTTGTCTTTCCTGATCAGCTTCACTGTAATCATTTTGTCTGAAATTAGAATAGCAACTCCTGTTTTATTTCTTGGTTCCCATTCCATGGCATGATGTTTACACTGTTTTGAGTATTAATCTGTATCGTTTTCCATTGAATGTGCTTCTTTTAAGCTGCATATGGGTACGTGTCATGGTCCAAGCTGTCAACGTGTGTATTGACTGGGGAACTGATAGCATTTAAGCAAACACTATTACTGAGCTACTGACTTATTCCTCTGAATGCGTTACTTCCCTGCTGCTGAATTCATTTTTCTTCTGGCTTAGCTGCTCATCCTGTGAGGTGCAGTTATATATTTTCTTACATGTTGACATTTTTTGCTTCATTGTCTCTTTCTACGATATCCTTGAAAAAGTTTTGCAATGCTCATTTGGATCTTGTGCATTCATGGAAGTGTTTCTTGTCATGAAAATATCTTATTTCTCCATCAGGTTTAAGGGAAATTTTGGAAGGACAGATAAGTCGTGATTTGAAGTTGACATCTTTTAAGGCTTGAAACATGTCACTGCATAACTTCTTGGCTTTTTAAGTTTCTATAGAAAAGGCTGGGGGCTGGGGATTTAGCTCAGC